TTTTTCTTCATTGTAGGGCACAATCAGGTCAAGGGAGACCCGACCTAACAATCTCATGCACATCTGCAGCAACCCATCACACGTAATAGTTTGATAAGTAACAGACCACTATATTATAGTGATACAGTGTGGAAAATAATTATTTGATCCCCTGCAGATTTTGTACGTTTTCCCACTTACAAAGAAATGAAGGGTCTATAATTTTTATCATAGGTGTATTTTAAATGATAGAGACAGAATATCAACCAAAAATCCAGAAAAAAAAAACATGATACAAATGTTATAAATTGAGTTGCAGTTCAGCGAGTAAAATAAGTATCCAATTTCCTACCAAACAACAATAATTCTGGATCCCACAGACTGGCTATGTGCTCAGGTGGTAGAGATTAGTCCTGTCAATTTAAGGTGGTGCTCTTAACGACAATTTGTTTCTTCCATTCAAACACCGCCACCATGGGCAAGACCAAAGAGCTATCAAAGGACATCAGGGACAATGCATGAGGTTGGAACGGGCTACAAGACCATCAGCAAGGAGCTTGGTGAGAAGGAGACAACTGTTGTATTTGCAATGGAATAAATACAAAATAACCATCAATCGCCCTCTATGGTATAGAGCTTCAAGCAAGATTTCGCCTCATGGGGTAAGGATGATCATGAGAAAAGTGAGGGATCAGCCCAGAACTACACGGGATGAACTTGTGACAGAGCTCAAGGCAGTTGGGACCAGAGTCACCAAACAAACCATTGGTAGCACAATACACTGCCATTGACTGAAATCCTGCAGCGCCCGCAGGGTCCTCAGGAAGGCACATGTACAGGCCTGTCTGAAGTTTACCATTGAACATCTAAATGATTCAGAGAAGGATTGGGAGAAAGTGCTGTGGTCAGATGAGACCAAAATTAAGCTCTTTCGCATTAACTCGACTCACCATGTTTGGAAAAGGAAAAATGCTGACTATGACCCTAAAACACCATCCCTACAGTCAAGCATGGAGGTGGAAACATTAAGCTTTGGGGATGTTTCTCTGCTAAAGGTACAGGCCGAATCTACTGCATTGAAGGGCCAATGGTTGGGACCATGTATTGTGAAATCTTGGATGAGAACCTTCTTCCCTCAGCCACAACACTGAAGATGGGTTGTGGATGGGTCTCCCAGCATGACAATGACCCAAAACATACTGCCAAGGCAACAAAGGAGTGGCTCAAGAAGAAGCACATTAAAAGTCATAGAGTGGCCTATCCAGTCTCCAGGCCTTAAACCTACTAAACATGTATGGAAGGAGCTGAAACTTTGAGATGCCATGCAACACCCAAGAACCATTAAGGATTTAGAGATCTGTAAAGAAGAGTGGACCAAAATCCCTCCTGAGATGTGTGCAAACCTGGCAACCAACTACAAGAAATGTATTACCTCTGAACTTGCCAACAAGGGTTTCTCCACCAAGTACTAAGTCATGTCTTGCTTGGGGATCAAATACTTATACTCACTGAACTGCAACTCAATTTATAACATTTGTATCATGTGTTTTTTCTGCATTTTGGTTGATATTTTGTCTCTATCATTTAAAATACACCTATCATACAAAATATAGACCCATCATTTCTTTGTAAGTAGGCAAACTTACAAAATGTGCAGGGGAACAAATCATTATTTTCCCCACTACTATATGCCATCAGCATGTCTCCTGATGTAGAGATGTGCTGCAGGAAATTCTTGTGATTGCTCTGTGGCATAACCAGAAACAGAGGTAAAAAAAAAAATCAGCTACTTGGTTTAACACCAGACCCTGTTCGTCAGTAAGAGGTTGCGAGAAAACAGAATCTGGTTGAACAGACCAATTACCTAACCATCAGGAAAGAATGGTGGAGGAAGAGGTTAGGCAAAATACACACAGTTCTTGGTTGTTAAAAACCATGAATGGATCTGTGTAATTTGAAATGCTTTAGTGTACTTTGCAAAATGTCTTGTTTAAAGTATATGAACACCTTAACTCTAAAAATTTTTTGTTATAGACAATTGTTTTTGAGTGTGGAAGGATTTCAGCCCCTGTTGGGTTATTTCTCTTTATGTAGCCACAGAAGAGACTAAGGCTTCATGCATATGGACATTTACATGCTCTCGAGTCTTGTAGAGTAAAATTTCTGGTGCTTTCAAGCTGCACCGGCAGGGGAGGCAAAGCTTACTTCCTAACCTACTATTAGATTGTAAGCTCTCATTGGCAGGACCACTCCTAACCCACTTGTTTTTAACTTTTTTGTAACTATACAGTTTCCCTTTATGAAACTCTGTGCAAACTGTTGGCACTATATAAATCATGAATAATAATAATAATAATAATAATGATAAACGTTGGCTTGTCACATGATTTTATCACAGTTTTATCTAGTATGAAGAAGACAAAATTATCCAAATCATTATGAAGCTACTGAAGTCAAGGAATGAAACTGATAGATGGCAAAATAATCATAAGTAAGTTCAAAGCAGCGTTTTGTAGGTCAGCGCCTCATGATCAAAAACATAACAGGTGCGCAGGACACCAGAACAATGCAGAGAAAACTGCATTCACTCTAAAGCCAACATACAGAGGTTTAACAAACGACAGCCTGTCAGTAACTCATAATTTCTATTGTCACTGGAGACAGATGAATGCATTTAACTCTTGCTGACTCATTCTAAGCTTTTCATATCCTGGAACTAATCTAATGAAATGTTAATGAGTACACCTTGTGTATTTTTCTCTGCAGCCCTCTACAACAGTGTTGAGCAGGTGAACATTCTGAAGGCGTGCTTATACTGGGTCATATTTCTCCAAACTAAATAGGAGGAATAGATGACGGTGTTGTGTGGCATCTCTGGCAGTATACAAAAGCACACCAAGCTGCCCACACACTGCAATTATGAAACACTGCACATAACTGTGTTGGATGGTGGGGTAGAAACATGTGTAAAATATTATATTCCCATTTAAAGGACCCTCTGTCTGAGTTCATTTCCCATAGGATCAAACACAGATTATTATAGCCACAAGCAGTAATCACTGTGCTCTCCTGGCGGGGACAGTTACCCCCCGCCCCGAGAACAAAATGGCTCCACAAGAGGGTTTCCCCCATCAGCACAGTGAGTAACCCGTGGTTGCAGGAAAGAAAAATTGCTCTATGGCCGACTTAAGGGACTGTGTCAATAGGCTTTGGGTTTGTGCTAGCAGCACCGGTTTCTGAATGATCACATTCAGAATTAATTGATGGGTGCATTTGATATGTAGTTGATCTCCTAACCTGCATTTTACCTGTTTCAAGTGGGACTTGCATTCCTATAGACTTGTATAATGGTGCAAAACCCACTTGAAATGAACAAAAGGCCAGGACACATGCCCTAATTGTGTTGTCATTTTCCTTTTTTACAAACTAAAAATGGCTTCAAGTTGAAATCCTCCCATGTGGTAGGGTTGGCCCTGCACTTCAGAGGTTAAAATGTTTGTTTTATATCTAGGGGCCACAAAAAGTGGTTACTTACCTGAACTTCCACTCCAACAGGCTTCCTCTAGTCTAGGCTGTAAGACTGCTCCCTGCATAGTCCCAGGTCCTCTGATGTTATTAAAGTCCAATGCTAAGCCAACAGACTCACACTGGGTGTCAGGATGCCAAGAACAGTCCACTGCCAGAGTATAGGGGAGTAGAGGACAGTGCTTACATGATCCTCTCCTCCCCAAGCAGCCAGCAAAGTTGCTTTTTGCAGCCCCCTAGACCTAAACAAACATTCAACGGAGGATTTTTCCTTTCTGCAAATACAGGCTTGAAAATGTATGCAAAGGAAAGTTTAGAAGCTCTGTCAAATTTTTCTTGTCATCTGTCCCCACTGGGGAATTTCACAATACTTATTCTGGTGATCATTGTCACCAACACAGAAAGCGAAAGGAAATCCAGAATTTTAGAATTCACACCAGAATGAGAGGTGTGGGAAAATCTTCCAAAAGGGACACCTGTTTTAGTGACAAATGTATAAAGGGGCTTTACCCTCAATTTTTAGAGACTAACTCACTTCCTGTTGTATCCTCAGGACATGAAGTGAATGTAAAATTCCCCACTGGGATGCAGGCTTGAAAGAATAAGCTGCAAGTGTTTTAACCCTTCTTTACTTTATTCAAACCCTAAAAAAACAGTCTGGGGTATACATACACTTTTAAGGTATACCGGTGCATAATTCATGAAGTCAGATCTCCCACCCCACCCAAGGGTACCAGTTCAGCACGCTAGGTATGGTAGCTTGCTTCACATGCCAGGTATCTACATGGTTAGAGGATAGAAGAATGTGTGGCACCCTGCCCTGCTGATACCTGCCAGAATATGCTTGAGGACTGAGAGAATACGATTTCTAAGGGCAAAGCCGTCGCAACCATTCCCAAATCTGATGTGCGCCACTCCACCATCCCCCCCCCCCCCCCATCCCCATGTGAAACACTATGGCGGCACACAGGCCTACTCTGTGCACAGTTGGTAAAAGTTTCATCTATTCTATTGGGCAAATAATTTTAAATAGATAGAAAAATAGACTGGGTTGTGATGTCCTAGGTTTGCTTTGAAATTTAATGAACAACATACAAGATTGCATTCAGGCAGCTGGCTCTGGGTCGATGGACATCTTTACATGTGTCCCATACTGTGGGGGCGAGGTGACATGATATCACATGAGTGAGCCCAGAAGGCATAGAGCAGGGGTATCAAACTGTGACCCTCCAGCACTTACAGAACTACAAGTCCCATGAGGAATTGCAAGGCTGATAGTTACAAGCATGACTCCTAAAGGCAAAAGCATGATAGGACTTGTAGTTCTGCAACAGCTGGAAGATCACAGTTTGACACCCCTGGCATGGAGGAAAGAACCGCTACTGATCACAGACACAGCACTCATTTGCTGTTCATGAGCAGATTTGGCTATATTATAAAGGTTATGCTATAAATAACATTTTCGATTATGGAATGTGTTTCACTTTTCTGTTATAATACCCTATATTGCCAAAAGTATTGGGACACCCCTCCAAATATTTGGATTTAGGTATTCCAATCACCTCCATGGCCACAGGTGTATAAAATCAATCACCTAGGTATGCAGACTGCTTCTACAAACATTTGTGAAAGAATGGGTCATTCTCAGGAGACCAGCAAGTTCAAGCGTGGTACTGTGATAGGTTTGCACCTGTGCAATAAGTCCATCCGTGAAATTTCCTTGCTATTAAAATATTCCACGGTAACTGTTAACAGTATTATAACAAAGTGGAAGCAACTGGGAACAACAGCAACTCAGCCACAAAGTGGTAGGCCTCGTAAAATGACAGAGCGGGGTCAGCATATGCTGAAGTGCACAGTGCGCAGAAGTTGCCAACTGTCTGCAGAGTCAATAGCTAAAGACCTCCAAACTTTGTGTGACCTTCAGATTAGCACAACAGTGTGTAAAAAGCTTCATGGAATGGGTTTCCATGGCCGAGAAGCTGCATCCAAGTCTTACATCACCAAGTCCAATGTACAGCATCGGATGCAGTGGTTTGAAGCACGCCGCCACTGGACTCTAGAGCAGTGGAGACATGTTCTCTGGAGTGATGAATCACTCTTCTCTGTCTGGCAATCTGATGGATGTGTCTGGGTTTGGCAGTTGCCAGGAGAATGGTACTTGCCTGACTGCATTGTGCCAAGTGTAAAGTTTTGTGGAGGGGGATTATGATGTGGGTTTGTTTTTTTTATGGGTTGGGCTTGGCCCCTTAGTTCCAGTGAAGGGAACTCTTAAGGCGTTAGCATACCAAGACATTTTGAACAATTTCATGCTCCCAACTTTGTGGAAACAGTTTAGCAATGGCTCCTTCCTGTGCCAACATGACTGCGCACCAGTGTACAAAGCAAGGCCCATAAGGATATGGATGAGCGAGTTTGGGGTAGAGGAACTTGATTAGCCTGCACAGAGTATTGACCTTACCCCGAAAGAACACCTTTGGGATGAATTAGAGCAACAACTGCGAGACAAGCCTTCTCGTCTGACATCAGTGCGACTTCACAAATGCGCATCTGGAAGAATGGTCATACATTCCCACAGACACACTCCTAAACCTTGTGGACAGCCTTCCCAGAAAAGTTGAAGCTGTTATAGCTGCAAAGGGTGGGCCAACTCAATATTGAATACTACGGACTAAGACCGGAATGGCATTAAAGTTCATGTGCATGTAAATGCAGGCGTCCCAATACTTTTGACAATATAGTGTATGTATGGGCATTTTAATGAATGCTTTGTCTTTTTTAGATGTTGTATTCTATGCTATTTTTTTTTATATCTCACATTGAAATCAGATACAAAAGTTCATACACACTCATGTACTACATAAAGTGCAACCAAATACAAGAAATTGTAACAGGGTGCCCTAGCCCTTTGGCCGATATGACCCAGGAAGAGGATATATAAAAAAAAAAAAAAAAAGTCCATTAACTGGATGACATCATCCCAAAAGACTGGGCAAGGTGTATGGAGCAATGGGGAAAAAGAAAAAAAAAAGGAGTGGAAAGAAGGAGGCGAGCAGCCAGAAACTGAGAGAAGAAGGGTCCATGTAAGTCAACCTGAAGGGCACACACCGAAAAAGTGGGGGTACAGAGAAAAGTAGTGCACAAAGAAATGAAGAAAACATAAAAAAAAAAGCAAATCAAGAGAGAGTTCTCTCGTCTGCGGCATGCAAATCAAAGTTCCAAGAGATCAGCCAAACCTCCTGAAGACTAGGTAAAACAAAATAATGCCAGGGCCTCAAAAGGGTCACGAAATAAGGTTTGCTGTGAGGTCTTCCATGTCTGAGTTCATTAACTTTAGAAAACCAGAGGGACCTTGGAGGCGGGTAAACAGACCTCCAGCACAGGGGGATGCATGCTGCATTCAGGCTGGATTTTAAGAGAGGCCTTATACTTCTGCAGTAGGATACCGCAGGGTTGCCCTCCAAATCTGCACTGGTCAGGTGCATAATGGTACTGAACACCTTTAGCCAAAATGGTCTGATTTTGGGGCAGAAGATATGTAACACTGTACCTCCTTCAGCACCACATCACCAGCAAGTACTTGGGACTTGAGGAAAGAAGATGCAGAGTGGTAGGCACCCTGTACCACTTTTGTGCGAAGTGAAGGATTTTCTCCTTCTGTGCGTCAGTGAATTGGGTGTTGAGGTCAGATTCCCACTTGGAAAAGAAAGTGGGGACAAATCTGGGTGCCGGTTGCATCAGGGAGGCATACATAATTGAGAAACAGTGACAAATTGGTTCCCCCCTGTGACAGATGCTCTCTAGCTCTGTGAGCTGACATGAAATACCAGGGGATCAGGAGCATGGTCTTAAAAAGTAACAGAGCTGAAGACCACTCCAGAAATCCAGAGGAGGGTTAGTAGTGGTTGCACAGGAGACAGAGGAGAGCTGGCCATCAGAACCCAGAAAATCCCAAAGATGGAGATGGCCACTAGAAACCAGTTGTTGGAATTGTGGGTGCTGAAGGCCCGGTTCAAATTCTGGATTCCCCAAGATGTGAGATCACAGGGGAAGGAAATGGGGAAACATAAGAGTTTCAAAAACTGTCTCTGGCAACTACCAATGTGCTACCAAAGGTGGGTGGTCATTGAGGGCTCTCGGCAATGGAGAGGTAATCCAGGGCCAGTTCTTTGCTGTGCCATTGGAGTCCTCCAGCTCCATAGCTTCACAATGTTTCGTCTCTGTGTGACAGTGCCAATCGACCAGCCTGGTAAGATGAGCCACCCTGCAGTAGGCCCGTATATCTGGGAGGTCAACCCCACCTTCACCATTCGAGAGGTGAAGAAGCTGGAGCTTGAGGCATGGCTTGGGACCATACAAATGCTTGAAACATGGAGCTCACCCGGTTGAAAAAAACACAGGAGGGAGTTGAATGGGGAGGGCCTGTAGCAGATAGAGCACCCTGGGTAGCACGGTCATCTTGAAAGCATTGCAACATTCAAACCAGGTTAAAGGGAGCGGGTGTCAGTGCAACAGGTCTGTTTTCAGATGTAGTAGCAATGGATCAAAGTTGTAGAGAGCTGCAAGATCAGGAGCAATGTCAACTCCCAAATAATGAATAGAGTCAGTCACCCACCGGAAGGAAGAGGAGGTGCACAACGAGCAGATCATGGCCCCATCCATGGAAATGTTAAGGGCAGAAGATTTCGACAGGTTAAGTTGAAAAGCGGCCACCTTGTGGGAACCAGATGTCCTCTGATAATCCACAATTCTGGGATCTGCCCATACTGTGCACAAGGAAAGTGTGAAGATCAACGGAGACAGTGAGCAGCCATGGCATGTACCATTAATTATGGTGACCACAAAAAAAAAAAAAATCAGACCTCTTCTCATTAACCTTAACTGAAGCTGAGAGACAGGTGTAGAGGGAAAAGATCCATCATAGAATGGATGACCCTAACCCGACATGTTCCAGAGTAGCATCCATAAACTGCCAATTGACCCGACCGAAAGCCTTTTCCACATCCCTGGACAGCACAAGAAGGGGGCGGTTAGTAGATTTGGCAACGTGGATCAAGTTCACCACCCGAATTGTGTTGTCTTAGGGCTCATGAAGAGGCACACATCCTGCCTGATCCCTATGAATTAGATGGGGGATGTAAGGAGAAGCCTATTTGCTAGGATTCTGACGAATAGCTTCAGGCTGGTATTCAGGAGAACAATCGGATGGTAGCTCCCATAGGAAAGGTCCTTCCCTTCATTCGGGATAAGAGAGATGTAAGCTCTCAGGGTACCTATAGGCATAGATTTCTCTTCCGCAATGGAATTGAGTACAGAAACTAAGGGAGGGGAGAGTACCTCAAAGAAGGCCTTGTAATAGGTTGGGGTTAGACCATCCGGGCCTTTCTTCGTTTTGGAATGGGCTACGGCTACCCCCAGCTCCCCTGCTGTAATAGACTCCTCTAACTCCTTCCGGGCAATACTTGGGAGCAACAGCATAGTGGAGTTGGTTGTTTACGACCGTATGGGTGATAGCACATCTGAGGAAGGATTCACATGTGGAGAGTGCCCGAGATTGTAAAGACCATCATAGAAAGATCGGAACTCTGACGCCATTGTGGTGGAGGTGGTCAACTTCTGGCCTGTGGAGTTAACAATATGGGGGATATAAGTTTTAGTGTGGGGTCCACCCAAGGCTCGAGCCAACAGGGTACCTGGTTTGTTTGAGAATTCATACCTTGTATGATGGGCCCATGCTAGCTTTTGCTTTGTTTTGTGGTATAATAGTTAGCGGAGCTCCTCACAAATTTTTAGGAGCTCCTGATAGGTAGAGTGGGCAATACTAGCCTTATAGGAGCATTCCAGGCTATGTAACCTGGCCAGGAGTTCATCTGTACGCTGAGACCTCTCCCTCTTACGGTGAGCGCCTATCCTACTCAACGTGTCCGCACAACCAGCCTGTGGGCTTCCCAGATGACCAAAGGATTGTCAATTGAGTTACAGTTTATGGATGATGGCAGATTCTGCGCTACAAGACCAATTTGAAGGGTTAGATGAACTGGCGCATTATCAGAAAAGGAGATGACATTGATGCTGGCGGATACCACCCTGACTAATTCTTTGTATGTGATGTGTGGGATGCAATAGTCACCAAAGGTCAACCAGATGCAGAAGCTGCAAGTCTGCCTTCAGCCGCTTGAGACGGGAATAAGGATGAGATGAGCCCCGGGATACACCCAATAAGGGGTCCATGGAAAAATTAAGATCGCCCCCAAAAACAAGAAGCCCCTCTGTAAACTCCAAAAGTACGTGAAGGAATGTCCGTAGGAACTGAGGGTGATCCATGTTCGGAAAGTAGACATTGGCAAGGGTAACCTGTATACCATGTATTTTCCTCTTCAGTAAGAGGAAGCAACCCAGGGCATCTGACTGCACCGCATAAAACATACATAGTGCAGATTTGGCCATCAGTATGCTGACCCTCTTAGATTTAGAATTTGGTGAAAAGCTGTGATACACCATTGGGAAGTCCCTGTTGTCAACTTAGGAACACAATCAGTCCGGAAATGTGTTTCCTGTAGGAATGTCATGCAAGTTTTACTGTACCGGAGATCTGTCAGGACTCAGGGGTGTTTCTCTTTCACATTAGGGAGGTGACTTTAGGGAGGCCCATGGTGTGCCCAAGCGGATTCTAGAGGGCAAGAGTGTGCAAGACAGAACTTCACACCAGTTGCTCCTGGTCGAGAATAGTACTAGAAAAAAAGCAGAAAAAACAAAGGATAGAAGTGGAAAGAGAACAGGATAGTAAGAAGGAAAAAGGGAAATAAAGGGTGACAAAATGAAAGGAGTGGAGAGGAAGGGAAAGGGAAAGGCAGGAGAGAATGGGGAAGAAGTAACAGACGTCCAGATGAGGGGGAAGGCCAAAAGCAAGGTAAAGGAGAAGATGAACCCCTCAAATGTGAGGGGCAAAATAGAGGTAGAGAACAGAAAGTGTGTGTGGGGGGACGGACGGACAGGAAAAGAGTATGTAATCCACAATAAGGTGTCACTTAGGTCCGGACAGAGCACTCAGGGTGTCCAGACAAGGATCCGTCCTGCCAGGAGGGTGGTGAAGGCACAAAGAACAACAGAAAAAGCACAGATTGGAGTCCGATGAGAACCATAGCAAAAAGCAATGTAGAGCCGCTGAAA